AGCTCAAGTGAAGATGCATTAACAGTATTGACAGAGGAGCAAAGGATACACTTATGGGTAAATATATTTACTATATCGGCTTAAATATTTTGTCTTAACTTTTTTTTTTTTATAATTATTAATAAAAGGACGAAGTAAGAGTGTTAATTGAAGGTAGTGCTTTGGCAGACCTCAAGCCGGATTCAAGTAAAAAGTAGGGAGAACAATTGCGTAATATTCGGCGTAAGCTTATTCCGGATATAATAAAGAAATTGCCAGCCTATCAGCAAAATTCTGCTGTGATCGAAAAAAATTTAAAGCAGCATCATAAAACCCGGCATTAAAAAAACATAATCAAGAAAGAAAGGACAAAAATAGTAAAGTGAATAATGTAAGCAGAACATAAAATTTGTTTTAATCATTTTTCTTAAATCAATCCCTTGAAAGTTATTTCATCTACAAATCACTTAGCCGATATATCGGCTAAGTAATTTGTAGATGAAATAATTTTTGGAGATTTAAGTTATTATTTTTAATAATTTAGAAAAGGAGAAGGAGACAAAAATTGGTGTCATTTCTTCTAAGAGCTGGAAATAAACAAATAAAAAGGCGGATTTGGAGTTGATAACTCAAAGTAGAGGTGGAAATGCTTATTATTCCAATGAAGAGTGGAGAACAGATGAAGAAGCAACAGAGGCAGCAGGAAAGAAGGTTAAGAGGTTAGTTTGTATCGATAAATGGTAGCAAGGACCTCAGGTATGTATTTTTTTTTTTTTTTTGGTAACGCGTACTAAAGATAGGCCAGGCTTGTCAAGGCCCAACATTGAGCCACCTGACACCTTTTGATCAGACAATAGGCTGGCTTTTCCAGCAGGATGCCCAACCCAGTTACCTTACTGATGTTGGCCACAATATTGTTATACGTCGAGGCGCAATGTAGATATCGTATAACCCAGGCCTCAGCTGCCTCTTTTTGCTAGGGTACATGTCCTACTCATGTATTCACCCAGACTTCGGTAACTTTACGCCATAACTTGACTCATGCACTTCGGGTCAGGGCTAACCATTGAACCCCTGCAACTAACTAGTACCAGTACTAATCTAGTATATATATTGCTATATATCCTGGGTCCCTCCCCCCGCGGTGTTACAGTTCCCAGATCTACACCTTCCTAATTAGTTGCCTATTACCTACTACTTGCCTTTATTAGATTCACGACAAACCCTGGTATCCGCATTCGGACCGTCTTTTTACCCGGATTCTTTATCGGTCTCTCCCTTACTTCCAGCTGGCAACCTGGAAGGGTCGGTCTGCCCAGGCTTTAGGTACCTGAAGGATGCCCTCCCCTTGGTACATACTTTCGAAGTGTATGTCCTTTTCCTCCGGTGTGACAAAAACTGGCGATTCGGCTGGTATGTTCTCCACCATTAGGACCTGGTCGTTCGGTTCTCCGATCTTGGGCCCCAGTTCGAATTCAGCCTTCTTGTGATACCATCGAAGATTACTGCTACTTCCTAACTCAGGACTTCCCAAATGGGTTTTCGGTTATGCCAGTTCCTCGGCTTTATTGCGCCATTGCTCCCATTACTAGATAGTGTAACTGAAGTTACAGATTTATCTAAAATCCAACCGATAATCATAACCATCAACCATAACGCAAGCCTATTTTTCAAAATTCATCGTCCGTGGGATTTGAACTCTAGACCTGCCACTTGGGGAGGGTGACGACTAGATCACTACACTAAGTCACCACACCTCATAATAAGATGTTTTCATTTTTTATATATATTTACAAATTTAGACAATATTTATTTGGACATAAGAAGTGTGATTGTTAATCGACTTGTATCTTTATTTTTTGTCATTATTTTTTTTATCACTTTTTTCTTACTTTCTCTTTTCTTATATTATCTCTTTTCATCTTTATCTTTTAAATTCAAGAAACAGAATCCTAACTAGGTTTCAGTGTCCTGGCATCTTTTTTATTTTTTTTTTGTATATATTTTAGTTTTTTTTGTTATATAATTATTGTATTAATATATAGAAAAAATAAAATAATAGAAATCCAATATAGACAATAGACTAGGAAAACCTCCTTCAATAGCTAATACCAAAAGAGAGTTTTCCTAGTCCATTATTATATGTATTTTGCTTTGAATTAATTAGTAAAGATATATGAACTTAAAAATCGCTTATTTTTAAATACTTGAATTGATAAATGCTTTTTTAACACTGATTTTTTTTTTATATTAATGATCAATTATAATTATTCTATCATTACTCATGACTAAAATATAATCTGCATATTAAATGGCCAAAATTAAAAATAAAATAATATCGGGATTACTAATTTTTCCTATTAGATATATAGAAATCTTGCCTTTGATTATATGAAAAATAAATTATTAGAATTTGAAATTTTCAATTTGATCAAATAACAGTATAAATGTTAAAGTAATTAACATATTATTAAGGCAGTTTAAAAGTTTAACAAGAAATATATATTATACTAAAATTTGCAAGTAATTTTTTTTTAAAACACAAAAGACAGTTTTGTAAACACAATTCTTTTTGTAATTTAATTCTGTAGTTTGATTGATAAGTTACTAATAAGTTCAATAACTTATGATAATATTTATAATAAAAATTATTACATATTTCTATCCTATTTGTATAATCTGTTTAAATATAATTTACATATAAAGCAGGCAGAATTAAAGATTCTTATATATAATTTAGTAAATATGTAAATTTGAAATAAGAGTTAATTAGCATGTTTGATTATCATAAAAATAGATCAAGTTTATAAAAAAAAAAATTCTTACAATATTTTAATCCTTAATAATAATAATCTAATCCTTAAGTATTTTCAAGACGTTTGCATCATGCTTTGAACTCTAATCTTTATAAACAAAGATTACTCTTCTCACTATATTTAGTGTTTTTACCTAAATTTAAAGAAATAGTTAAGGCTAATTAGTATTTTATACTAACCACTCGACTAAATAAACAAGTGCTTTGATATAGTTATAAATCTGAATAAACCAGGTTGTATCTTCAGTATTCTGTACTAATTACCTGCTTAAATGTTTTGGCAAAGTTATAAATCTAAAAAATAAAGTTGTATTAGCTTTACTGGTTCTTTATTATTTAGTATTAACTATTCAATAAGGGGTGCTCTGGTAAAGCATATAAATCTAAAGTCTTAAATAGTAATACAAATCAAAAATCAAAAAATTGATTAGTTGGTCTAGTTAACAACTAATCGATTGAAAAATTTTTAAAAAAACAATTAATTGATTGAAAAATCCTTACTAATTTATAATTAAAAATCAATTAAAAATCAAATAATCATTTAGTTGACAACTAATCAATAAAAAATTTTAAACAAACCAACTAATCGATTAAAAAATTTTTGGTAATTTGTATTACTAGTTGGTGTAATATTTTCTCATTGGGGTTTATATTAGATTTACTGCTAGTTATATATAAAAAAATCTACTAAATTTATGGGAATTTCTATTTAATTCAGTGTGTTTTTTATATAAAAAGCTTATATGTTGCCTTTTTTTTTTTAACTAGTAGCTTTCTCTTTTCAAAGCAAGGATAATATGCACAGAAAAAAAGAAAGATTTATTTATAAAAATTACAGATAAATCAATCATATCTTATTAAAAAAATTTGATAGAGCATTTAGAGTTCTATTTAAACTTTTAAGCATTATTTGCTAGATAAAGATAATTTAAAATTATTATTTTTATCTATATTATATACTCATTTTCTATTGGTTCAAGTTGCAGAATAAACAGTACTAAAATCGCTATTACCAATTTGCTTAATATTTTCTAATTTATCAAAAGATATAAATCAATTACATGATATATATATATAATACTGTATTTAATTAAAATTAGTGTTCAAAGACAAGCCAGCTTATCACGGCTTGCTGCGGCTTAATGCGGCTTATCACGTGATAAATTCGAATTT